GGATTCTATGATTCTATGACATCCTCATCCAGCCTGGCCTCAGGAGCACTCACCTGGGCATGGAACTGGTCGAAGGTCATGACGGGCCCGAAGAAGAAGAAGGGGAGGTAGAAGTTGTACTTGAGGAGGTCGAAGATGGAGTAGATGCCCTCTTTCCTCTGGGAGCTCTCCAGGGCAAAGCTCATGCAGCGCATGATGGTGAAGCTGCTTCCTCCATAGAAGAGGACATCTTGAAGATCAAAAGCTCCCGTTACAAACCCACTCTGGATGAGAAATGGAGAGTTACCACCAGGACCGTGGTGTCACCTCTGTGCTCCCTGGCTTTGGGGAGAACATCACTCCCTTGGCAGCAGGGCAGAGCCTCTAGGGGTGCTCTGGCTCCAAATGTCCCTGGACCTAATGAGTCTTCTTGTGGGGAAGGGAAAACTGGGGCTCCACTTCCCAGCTGGCTCCTGAGGAATGGTGGAACCCTCTTGGCCATGGCCTCACCAAGCAGCTGTGGGCCATGCAGGGGGGGACAACGTCACCTTGTCCCCACCTCTCCCCAGCACAAGGCTGATGGAGAGCAGGGGACGTGTTTCAGGAGGTGAAGATGAGGCAGGGACAGGCAGCACTGTCCTTCAGAGGGACCTTTATGAGGTCCTTCCTGGGCTTCTCCCCACCCCAACGTGAGGGAAAGCCTGGGCAGAAAGCTAAGAGGTAGGCATGGACATTGCTGAACTCATCCCAGCACTGTGTTGCAGGTGGGGAAACTGAGGCACGGGGCAGGAACCTGCCTTGCCTGGCTGACAAGCTGTGGCCTGAGCAGCAAAGACTCTGGTGTCCTGGGCTCTGGGTGGCTCCTGAAGCCACCAAGACAGGACACAGTGGGAATTATTCCCAAGCTCAGCAGCACGACAGCTCCCCCCTGCTCAAACCCTGTGGGGAAGAACCACGAGAAGCCCCCAGGGTTTTGGGGGTGCCCCAGGAGCCATCCTTGGAGCTAAACCCAAGGAGATGGCCACAAGGAGGCTGGAAACGAGGTCGACACGTGGCCTGAGACAGCACCTACCTGCCAGGAGCTGAAGGGCTCCACCTTGAAGGAGGCGAGGCAGCAGAGCCCGGCCACGTAGCAGAGCCACTTCTGCTTGGCCAGGGCCACCGAGTAGAGGACCAGGCAGTGGGAGAGGATGATCATCAGGTAGGTGAGCCCCATGCTGGCCAGCACGGCCGAGACCCCGTAGAGCATGTACATCCCAGCCCGGTGCTGCCAGGAGAGAAGGGTCCTGAGCCCTGGTCAGCCTGCTGGAAGCCCCAACCCTGCTCCCCCTTCTTCTAGAACATCCCTCCAGGCCCCTCCACGGAGCTCCAGGGTCACCCTGGTGCTTTCCACCCCACCCTTGGCTCACCTGGGGCACCACCATGGAGCAGAGCTTCCCAAAGAGGACGTGTCCCGAGAGGGCGAAGAGGATGATGTTCCTGAAGGAGCTGAACCACATCACCCACTCGAAATCAGCCACGTCCTGCAGGGGCACAGCCCGGGGGTCAGCAGCAGGGACTGCTGCCCACCCCACCCGTGGCTGGGAAGGACCAAGTCCTCCCTCCACTTACCATCTTCCTGCCAAAGTAGTGCCAGCCCGGCTTGATGCCGTCCCGAAAGGCCTTTCTGTTCATGCTGTCTGCAAAGGAACGGGGGTCACGGGGGGAGGAAAGGGGGGGCTGGGGCTTGGCGAGGCTGGGAGCCTTCCTCACCACCCCCAAGAGCCATCAGGGCTCAGACACCTCCTCCCAAAAAGGCCTCGTTCTCAAGGATGACCACAGGAGTGAGGAACCTCAACGGTTTCTGCAAGGCTTTCCAGCAGAGCCTTTTTTTGCAGATGTCATGAAATTTTCAGGGGTTTGGGCTTCCAGATTAAAAAAAAAAAACATGTGGGAAGGAGGCCAGTGTAGGGAGGGTGGTTCCCTGCTTGGGGCACTGGCTGGATTGTGGCCTTCCAGGATCTTAGTGGGGCTACAGGAAAGCTGGGGAGGGACTTTTTAGGATCTCAGGTAACGACAGGACTGGGGGGAATGGGGCAAAGCTGGCAGTGGGCAGATTCAGGCTGGACGTGAGGGAGAAGTTCTTCTCCA